GGTTTATCACAATTGTTCAATTTTATGTAATAGACAAAACTTAAACTTGGTCTTATGAAATTTAAATTCAATGAAAATTAGATGCAATACTCTATGGCAGTATTGCGTTTTGCCAAGCGCCAAACTCAACTTTAAAAATTTTTCAAAATGGACAAAATATTGCCTTAAGAAAACTGGTTAACGCCCCATGGTACGTAAGATGAGCGGATATTCACAGAGATCTGAGAGTCGATTTAGTCGAAAAAAACATTAAAGATCGTGCTCTGAAACTGTTCAATATAATTGACAGTCACAATAATCCAACACTCAGCATCTTAAAAATACAGCGAAATTTGATAAACACAGGCAGATACAAACACATCAGATCCATCATATTATAAAGCCCCGTATTCAGTTATTCTTAGTGTGACTTAAAACTGTCCACAGATAAAATAGAGTAAAGGTACTGATTCACCAACTCAGACATCTGAATATCAAGTCAAGTTATCTGAGATAAATTCAAAAATAGTTTAATTGTTTTACTAACTTTAAGTTGATGTGGACTTAAGAAAGATGTAAACTAAAACTATAAACACTATTTCAAAAAATTAGATAGACTTTTTCGATAATAGCTTTAATCATGTTATTAATATTAAGTTGACGTAAATTTATAAACATATGAACTAAAATTACAATATTATTGGTCTTAATTTTATTCTATTATTTATTCATCTTTATGGTTATCCTTTTTAATTAAACTGTCATTATATAATATATTAAAAACAATCAGTTCCTGCTTTTTTTTTAAATGAAGTTAAATTATTTTAAAATTAATAATTTCTGAGTAAAAATGCAAATCGTGTTTTATAAAATGGTTAAATTAACTTTAAATTTATTTTCTATGAAATATAATTTAAACCTTTAAATTTATTTTGGGACTTTTTTTACTGTTAAAACCCTTTAAGCGCTTTAAGCCCTTTAAAATTTATTAAGACTTAGAACATTTAGTTTATTTTTAGATGAACGTGATTAAGATGTACTAAAATTAAATAAATAAAATTAGTATATATATGATAATAGTGTCTGAACCCTTTTAGGTTCGGAATTTTGTACTTTATTACCGGCACATTTATTTTAATAAACAAAGAACAGGTTTCTTTAGATTAAAAGTTACAATGCAATTTTATCTGGGCAAGGAAATGAAGCTAAAAATAAAAATTGCAGTTGCGTTTCGAGATAAATGATCGCTGATTATTTACTGTCTGGTTACTGTTCTTAAAAAATTCTCCGAATTGATAAGTATTAAAATACCAGAAAGTTAAACAAAATAAAAAATTAGCAATGCTTTCTGGAAAATATAATTATTATTGTTTGCTTTCAGTGTATATATTAAATCTGTAGAGCGCGCCAGAGTGCGGGCGAATTATATAGTAAACTGAATATATCTCTCGCTGCGATGATAGATTTAACAAATACACTGATAAAAATACTGGGCTTAAAGAGATATTTGTGAAATTTACTAGCACAAGTACATACTTTATATATGGTATATGTGGTGGGTATAGCACTGAATACCGCCATTATAGAAATAATTTAGCTAACAAATAATTTATGTAAACAATTAAAAAATAAGTAATAAATTAAATTTTTTATTTGCACGTAAAATTTATGTGATTTTTGTTATTCAGTTTTAAGTTTTAAAAAAATTATTTATTATTTCACAAGCACATAGATATAAGTTGCTGTGTTTTTATTTCATTATATACAATTTGTTTTCATTGTTTTTTTTTGTTTGCTGGAATATTTTTAAAAATAAAAAAAAACAATTCAAAAATTTTACAAGTGATACAATGTATTTAAAAATATTTTTGAAATTTAAAAAAATACTTTTTACATATATTATTCAAAATTTTTATTATTGATTATTTTTAAGTTTTAATCAATATTAATCAATATTAATACTAATATAAATCTGAAATGAATTTAAATTGACTTGATTTTATGTATCTTGCATACATAATTAATAATATTTTTATGCTTGAGCAGTTTTATTTCTATGTATTAATTACTGCAGTTATTAATTATTTATAAATCACAACTAGTATCTGACCGGACACCTGATATTATTTACATTTTCTCAAAAGCTCGTTTTAATATTGTAAGTAAATAAAAGGTTTCGAAAGCGTTTAATATGCTTACTTTTTAGATGCGTTTGGCTTTCGCTTCAAAAGTTAAAAGCTTTTCCACTATTTTTATATTAATATTTGTTTATAACTATTATTTCTTTAAAAAAAACAGACAAAATAGTTTTTTTTGAATTTCACATTCACTTTGTGCGTTTTAACATTTTTCCACTTTTAGCCAAGCTAAGCTTGATCACATGCCAAGCTTAAAACTTAACCAACACATTCAAGAAAGTGTACACACAGTTTAATGTAGTTGACCACGAACCGGGATTAAAGCTATTGAAACAGTTTGAGTTTTTAATGCTCAGTTCTATTATAGCGCACGATTTTTTCCGTAAATTTTACTGCCAACAACGCGACGCATTCAAGTGTTAGCGATCAACTGAGACGGCTTCAGTATTTCATATCTGGAACACCTCACTTTGATCACACTTCTCTCTCATTAAAACCTACTACAGTTCGTTATCGATCGTTGGTGCTAATGTATTTTCTTCTTAAATATATAAATGTATTTACTCATATATGTGTATATTAATATATTTTTTGTTTATATCCACAGAACTTTATTTGATTTTTGTTGAGTATAAAAAATGTATAAAATTTTATTCAAAAAAATTATTGAATGCAAAAACTAGCTGTAAACTGATCGCACAACTTCACGATATATAATTCTCAATTACTCTTAATTGTCATTATTATGGAGTCTGATACGTATAACATACTACTTTAAACTATTTTTAGATATCATATATATATTTTTATAAAGTATTGGTTTTATACCACAGATAGTTGCGGTTCGACTTTATGCTTAAAAATATGTTACTTACCACGAATTTTATTTGAATTTTACTTTTATGTATACAATAAGTATTAGTAAAAATAATTATTATTATTAATAATATATTATATACTCATTTA